TTTTTTTTTTTTTTTTTTTTTTTTTTTAATAAAAAAAATACGAAATTCCATTTTGGGTATTAAATATTAATTATTATTATTATTATTTTTAGTGAGATTGTAGAGGAGTATGACCGAGAAATGAGGAGTCTATGTGGGAGGCTGATGTGGCTTGGGTTAGGCGAATTGGGGATAACCCGGGATGACATGAAATGGGCCGGGCCGGATGGTGATTTCAAGACGAGTCCAGCAGCGACCCAGTTCAATTCGTACCCGGTCTGCCCGGATCCGGACCGAGCTATGGGACTGGGGCCCCACACCGACACCAGCCTGTTAACCATCGTGTACCAAAGCAACACGAGGGGGTTACAAGTTTTGCGAGAAGGGAAGCGGTGGGTGACGGTGGAGCCAGTAGCCGGTGGACTAGTGGTTCAAGTGGGAGACTTGCTTCACATTCTGACAAACGGGTTGTACCCGAGTGCACTCCATCAAGCCGTGGTGAACCGGACCCGGAAACGACTCTCGGTGGCTTACGTTTTTGGGCCACCCGAAAGCGCAGAAATTTCACCGCTTAAGAAGCTTTTGGGCCCAACTCAGCCGCCACTTTACCGCCCGGTAACTTGGACAGAGTACCTCGGTAAAAAAGCGGAGCATTTCAACAACGCACTGTCGACTGTTCGTCTTTGCGCTCCTATTACTGGACTGTTAGACGTCAACGATCACAGCCGGGTCAAAGTAGGCTAATCCCACCCTAAAACACAGTCAAATTTGAATAAATAAATAAATAATAATAATAATAATAATAATAATAATAAATTTAAGCTATTTTGGCTGACTATATAAATATAATGTAATTTAAGCCAACTTGGAGTAATGGGTTTTATTTTATTTTATTTTGCATGGTGGTTGTTTGGATTATATTTTTGGGCGTAAAAAAGGAGACATAATTAAATTGAAATAATTAAGTATTGATTGGTGATTAGGGTTGAAATAATTGGATCTCTTGAGATTGTTTTTGTTCTCCCTCTTCCAAAACCAAATCACACATTCCTTTCTTTCCCATCTTTAATATTCTTAATCATTGCCTTCAAACGGCTTTTCAAAATGATTAACTCAATCATTAATTAACTACTTTTAAACTCTCATTTACGTCCATTAATTATATTTTGTTCTATCCCACTTCCTTGTCCTGTTTAAAAATCCTCATAATCCCTCCGTTCATACAATTTGCCATCTAAACCCATGCTAAATATTGTCTGTTTTAATCCATTATGTATCGTTATCGGCCTCACAGTTTTAAAACATGTCTATTAGGGAGAGGTTTTCACACACTTATCATAAATATTTCTCCAATTGACGTGGGATCCCACAATCCACCCTCTTTGGTGGCCCAACATCCTCATTGGCATACCGCTTGGTATCTGACTCTAGTTCCGTTTGTACTAACCCAAACCCACCGCTACCAAATATTGTCCGTTTTATCCCATTATGTATTGTCATCAATGTCTCAGTTTTAAAACGCGTCTATTAGGAAGAGGTTTCCATACTCTTATAAGAAACGTTTTGTTTCACTCTCCAACCGTTGTGGGATCTTACACTATTAAATTCACCTAATATTTCTCAAACAAACCCTAAAAGAAAGTCGAGCTAACTTGAATAGATTTTGATGCATCGTTCTAAACCAAATATTAACGCGACGAGCATGTGTGTTCCGAGTTAGTTTGAATGGATTTTGTTAGACGAGCATGTGTGTTTCAACGAATATCAATCTCTCCTAAAGTTTAAGAAAAGCATAGACCTTAAACGTAAATTTTTAAGCTTAAGGCGTACTCACCGGCCCGGTGAACGTCGGATTAGAAGTATAGGCATATGTATTTCATTTGGACGGTGGACATGGGTTTTATTATATCAAAGACTGCAACCATGCACGTGCTTCTTTGTATTTTGGCTTTTGCCATTCGACAGTCTCACAAACCTAAACCCGCCATCTCCTTGTCACCGGATGGGGCAGTTTTTACCGTTTTTACAGTTTTTCCTCCTAATTCTAACCCTAACTTAGTTATGCCTACTTTAAAGACGGATCTTGTAAACCCTAGTTAACTTGAGTTTGATGTAATTCTTATACTATGGAGCTTGAAAGAGGTCAACCCAACCTACCAAACTTTCACTTTAGGGGTTAGGGTTTAGCCTCAAGTTCTAAACCTAGTTTAGTAGATCCAACCATATTCATTTATCTTCTTTGATGTTGAAGATTCAAATCTCCAACCCGAGGAAAAAAAATCCCGTGATCTCAAATACCCATTTAGAGGTCGAGTCAAATATGATTTTGAAGTTCTGTTTATTCCCCGCAATCTAAAACTAAACAAAAATTATACAAACTTATTATTAATTTTCTACCGATCTTAAGATCGTTTGGTTGAAGGGTTTGTTTGAGATAATGTCTAAAAATCAGGTAAGTTATTGTATGTGGCATAAAAACGGTATCAAAATTTCATAATTTTATTACCATATTTTTTTCGAAAACATTTTTTTTTTTTTTTTGTCACATATTCTAATGGAGATACATTATTTGGAGCAAGGTAGTACCTGTGGTAGTCCATTTCAATCACATCAAATTAATATTCTTGTAGCCTGCCCATGCTTTTTAACTCAAATAATGTCAAAATTATATTGTCATAAATTACATATGTATATATATAGATAGATAATTTAATTTTTGACTTAGAGTTAGTGGGTATTCCAAAAAAAAAAAAAAAAAAAAAAAAAAAAAAAAAAAAAAAAAAAAAAAAAAAAAAAAAAAAA